TTTAAAAAAGGAAAAAGAAAAAACCTTAACACAATTTTGACTCTTCTTCAACTTAAACTCACAACAAACAACCAAACTGGCAATTCTTCTCCCCTCCCTTCTGCATCCTCACATCCCTCATATACGGATGTCTCCCAGACCCGAGAGCTGCCACCACACAGCTGCGTCCGAGGCAGTGTGTGAATTGTGCTTAATCCCGGGCGAGAGGACGGCTACTGCCTCGACCCAATTCCGCTCTACTCTTCTGGGGTCTTCCTGCTGCGCTCTCCTCCTGTGCAGTGCATCCCACTCTATTCCGAAATTGCGCTTGGGGATTTATCCTTCGTTGTTCATATCTATTGAGATACACGCACGCACAAACGCGCGCGCGCGCACACACACACACACATACCTACATATATCATATATAGAAATGTATACACATGTATATGTATATATGTATATATAGTATATATATATATAAATATATATATATATATATATATATATATATATATATATATATATATATATATATATATATATATGTGTGTGTGTGTGTGTGTGTGTGTGTGTGTGGTGTGTGTGTGTGTGTGTGTGTGTGTGTGTGTGTGTGTGTGCGTATGTGTGTGTGTGTCATATATACATGTGTGCTTGTGCGCGAGCGCGTGTGTATGTTATCATTATTACTACTTGATATTACTATCACGGGTGATTTTATTGAAAAGCTGAATCATTGCCACCATCATCGTTATAGCCATGATTTTAATGATGATTGTGATAGACTATGTTGAATATCATCTTCATTGACAACATTATTAACATTACTATTACTACTATCATCAACAGCATCATCACCATCGTTGTCAGCACCACCACCAGCATTATCATGAGATTTGTTATTATTTTCATTACCATTGATACCATTGGTTTTGTCACAACTAATAATTATCAATAGTATTATCAATAGTCTTTATTATTCTTACAGTTATTACCATTATTATATGATCATCATCACTATCAGTTGTTAAACTATAAAAGTCATCTATATAATACTTATTTACCACCACACGTCTCGGTGTGTAAATGGAGGTGCGGGGTAGGTATTGTTAGTCAGATACCGCTGAAGACCGTTTAAAATCATTAATAATACTATTTAATGATAAACGTCCCGCACCGCCTACCATCAGCCAATAATATGTGGATATTTCTTAGCGTTTTTATTTTTCCTTTTTTTCCCACCATGTCTTTACCAAAGGTTGAGAGGGACACTAATTTCCCTTGTTAATATGTATTTTGATTGCCAGTTCTGGTAGACGCTGAGCTTCCTTGTTAGTATAATTTTTAATGACCGGTTCAGACGGACGTTGGTCTCTCCTGTCAATATAGTTAACTGGAAGTTTATATTAAAGCGATTTTCCCTTGTTAATTCTTAATTGCCAATTCAAATAAACGCTGTTCCTCCTTAATATAACTGACAGTTCAGATAAATACTTTTTCTTGTTAATATAATTCTACGCTGGTTTCCCTTGCTAAAAAGATTCTTAACCGCCGGTTCAGATGGACGCTCGCCCCCATAACTACCAGCCCGTTGACTCGCCGCTTGTTTGTAGAGGAAAGCCTTCTCCGCATCCTCCGTTTGCCCCAAGGATGTCTTCTGATGCCCGCGTGTGGGAGAGGGAAGCGAACGCCTCGCCCTTTGATGAGCTCCTTCCTTCCGCGAACACCTACGTGCGCACGAGACGGGGCTGTTGATTTCATTTTATTTTGTTATTTTATTTGATTTTATTTCATTTTGTTGTTTATTTTATTTCATTATTTTATTTTATTTGTGTTATTTTATCTTCTTTTATTTTGTTTTTATTTTATTTTATTTCATTTTATCTTTATTATTATTATTTGCTGGGATCACTGTGTCTGATTTGTATCCCGTCGCTTGTGGGTCGGACGTATTTAAGGTCATTTTAAGGTTTTATGACGAGTTTAAAGTCGTCGTAAATGTCATGACGAATAAGACTTTTAATGGTTTCAATGCTATTCCAAAGGGTTCGGTCGAATTTAGTGTAATTGTAGTGGGTAATTAAAAAAGCCGTAGAGACACTGTTGTTAGAGTAACGTGTTGTGAGTCTGGTAGATTTCATTGTGGTGACGCTGATGCTTTATTAACAAACAACAAGTATTAACAAGTAACAGAAAATGAAAGAGAAAAGGGCCCATGCATGAAAAAAGTGAGAATGAAGGCGAAAGGGTGAAACAATGAGATTAGGGCAAGGCATACGGTATTTAGGTTAATTCGTGTAGCACCAGACTAGATAGCGTAAGAGAGTCAAAGAACATAAACTAGTGGATTATTCCTTCCCTCACACGCAAAAAAGAAAGAAAAAAATGTCCACACAAACACGCGGACAAAAGACAAAAAAGTTTCATCCTCTTGCAGGGCGGAGAAGCTGTAAATTAAGAGCCATGCGAGTCTGGGGGACGACCCACCTGGAGGAAAATTCATTCCATCAATAGTATCTTG